TAGGGGAGAGAATTTAACATGCAATTATTTTCTGTGCCTGGGGAAGGGCAACGACTTTGTTACCGTTTTCTTCAGCATATGGTTCCGTCCTTCCTACCCCTCACCCCCAGACAAGGGGTCAGACCAAACCTGCTCAGCTCTCCTGGGCTTAATGGAGCAGCTATAATGCCTAATCCAGATTTCCAGCTGCAAACAAGCAGGTGCTGGCAGTGACAAGGTGCTGGCACTGACAAGGTGCTGGCAGTGACAAGGTGCTGGCGTGGGGCTTGGAGGAGCCCAGAGGAATTTGGCAACAGGTTTGCTTCTCCCTGCACTTAGGGGCTACAGTTGGAATGCAGATCGTAGGAAAAAATGAGAGAGCCAGAGACATTGGTGGGTGGAGGCTTTGGAAACAGGAGTATTTGGTGCTTTTCTTCCTTCACCTAGTTCCCACCTGCATCAACACTGAGCACTTGTTACAAACAGCCACCGAGTGGCACCTCGTCATGGATATTTAATAAGTCTGTAGTGCAGCCCTGCTTGGCATTGCTTCTCCTTCCCCTCTCCCACACGGTAGGGATAGGAGATGACAAATGTTTACAAATGAATTTTTATCAATTCATCCCTTGCAAGTTTAATCAGGAGGAAGAAACCCCAGGCAGGACTCGTGTTGCTGTGGGAGCCCAGAGGTCCCTCCCTCAGCACTGGCGGGTCCGGATCCCTCCTTGGTGAGGCAGAGACTTGTTGCAAGAATTTGATGGGGAAAATTGATTGTAAATTATTTTTATTCCAGCATCTTAAGTCAAGGCAGGCTTCAGGTTCCCATGAGTGTGGAGAAAGAAGGAGGTGCTTCAGTTGGCATCTAAATCAAAACTGTAATGGGTCTGAGGCCAGATAAGAGGGGTTGCACAAACTCCTCGCACAGAGACTTTGCAAGTGGAGGATTTAAGTAGCCCCATCCCTGGGCTCTAAAGCAGATGTGAAAAGCTAGAGAGCTCTGTAGACCTGAATTTAAATTCAGGAGCTAAAGTAGTGCAGTAGAGAGGGGTTTTTTGAGCACAGAGTAAATAGCATATTCGTCTACATGCACTGCTTGTGAGTGCAATAAAGCTGAGCTCAGGGCTAATGCAAACAGTTTTCATTAAGAAATAATCAAAAATAAAAAGCCATTTCACATGCTGATAAGAAGCCAGTTGGTTTTTATATTTCACCAGCAGCTTAAGCCATACTTACAGCCATTTATCTTTTTCCAGAGCTGGCTGCAGAGAATACAAAAAATGCAGCAGGCTGCATATATGTAATTAAACTTTTGGCAGAATTTGTGCCTTGCAGCTTTGCTAAGAAATTCAATAATGATAAATTGAGTAGAATATATAGAGGACTTTTTGTGAACAAGATTTAATATAATGTATGTGGCACAGATAGTCATTTGCCACATAATTGTTTTGGCAACGTTCTTATGAGTACTCTCCTCTGATTGTGGCAGCTATTCTTTAAAAACCACCCCTTCTTCTGCTCTTATCACTATTCCAATTTGCTATTGAGGCTTTCCTGATTTCCAGCCAAGCCTGTGTTTAGCCATAATGACTGTTTTGTTCCCCTCTGCCTGCAGCATTTCAAGCTGGGAGCACTTTGGGTCCTGCATTTTGTATGACAGCTGCACGAGTCCCCTCCCGTGCTGTGTCCAACACCATGAGCTGGTATCATCAGTCCACTGTAATTATCTGGTTGGTTTTTTTCCTTCCTCACAGCAATTGGAAGCAAAACACATCACTTGACCCATGTGCTGTTTGCAGTCTCACTGTTATATGTGATGCCACTGGGAAAATGATGCTGGGATTGTCTCCCTGCTTTTGGTGTTGCTGTCTCTGCTAATGCACCGCTAATTGGTATAAAAGGCACCTTTTTTTGGGTTCAAATTCTCCATCCAATCCACCCTCAGCACTTCTCCTATAAAAGCTGCATCTGTTCTGCCTAATTCCCACAGATTTTTCCCAGTTTGTGGCTGGTGGGAGCAGAGCTCCTCATCCCCATGGGCACTGTGGCATCCCCCTGTCCTCCCTCACCACTGTCCTTGGAGGGGCTGCAAATATGCTTGGAAAAAGTCTGATTTTCATCAGCATTTATTTCAATCATAGCAAGCAGGCTGCTCCTAAGGGAAAATGAAAATTAAAAAAAAGGTGTTTGATAGAACTGCTGCCTGTGTCCTGGGATGGAATGGATCCTTAGCAGGTGACAGGCTGGTGTTGAGCAACGGGGTTGATCTGAGCACTGGCTTTTGTTAGGGAGAGCCATGACATGGAGCTTTCCTGGGAACTGGATAATGGGGAGGTGGTGCTGCAATTCTCAGCAGAATGGGGGCAGCTGAAACTTCAGGTAGGTGAGAAAGGGTCGGGGAAGATGTACAAGGAAGATGTGTTGGACACAGGCTTGTACTTGCTTGGCTGGAACATGATTCTCTTGAGCCAACAGCTAGGCTGGTTGTTAAGCACAATGTTAAAGTCAGAAATGCAAAGGGTGGACTGGACTAGGTCACAATATGAGATGAGTGAAAAGACAAAAGGGAAAAAAAATAGAATGAAACTGTGAGGGCTGGAGGAGCCTGCCTGGTGCCAGGAACTGTTCTTAGCTGGTGCTGGGAGAGCTGAGAGCACAGCAGAGGGGCTGCTGCACTGTCAGCAGGCAGCTTTTTGGGCCTGATTTAAGAAAAACAAGTCACCAATATTACATTCTGCATTTTCCTTCTATTCTCCAGCAGGTTCCTTCAGTCTTGAAATAGCAAAGCTGCCCCAGCAGGCACCAAACCCTCTACTGTCAGCATTCAAAAACTGCCTCACGAGCCTCCGGTGTTGAGGCCACTTACACTTTTATTTAACACTTTTTGCTTTCTGTAAAGGGAGAAAGGCTGATGTTTTGTCACTTGAATGTAAGTGCTCTTTGCCAATGTCACAAAAACTATTGTCCCTCCTCCCTGGAAAGCTCATGACACTGGAGGGGGAATCCTGCCCTGTTGCTCTGCAGTGATGGGGCTGTTGGCAGGTCCACGGGTCAGTGTTGGTGCTGGGACAGGGTCAGCTGAGGATAATGCAGTTGTGGGGCTCGGGGAACATGTGTCAAGCAATTAAAGTAATCCAGTGGTCTGGCAGAAGAAGGGAATTTCATCCCTAAGTGACTTCAGCCCTGGCTGCTCTGTTGCCAGGGCTCGGCTGTGCCAGCGTTCCTGCAGCAAACTGGGCAGGCTGCAGTGCTGGGCCTGCTTGGCCCTGCTGGTGCTTCAGAAAATATTTGTCTCTGTCCCCGCAGGCTGGAAAGCAGCTCTGCCATCAAATGTTACTGTGTGTTATAGACTGGGCTGGCATTTGGGGACAGAAAGCTCTGTGCAGCTGATGGCAGGGGCAGCGTTCACCCGAGCAGCGTCTGGCCTCTGGGGGGAATGTGCCAGTGTTGGGGACATTGTGGTTTGCAGCCCTGGTGACACCAACCAGGGATGCTCCTGTAGCACAGGAGGGAGTCTGTCAGAGCTGTCTGGCCCTGCTGCAGGCAAGTGGGGCTTTTCTCTTCGCCCTGGTTTTTGGTACCAAAATATATTAAATGCTCGGTTTTATTTTCTTTGTTGAGGACCATTCTGGGCTGCCCTTTGTCCAGATTTGTACAGATGGTGAGATGCAGAGTGTTGCTGACATCCCTGCTTGCCCAAGGTGACCCCGAGTGTCAATTTGCAAGAGTCCCTTACACTGGGGTTGTTAATTAGCACTGGAAGAGCGCGGCTGGGTGATGTGCAGGGGACAGTCGGGCGTCCCTCGCCCCGCACATGGCAAGGACACAGTTGGCCCC